GTCAGATGCGAGTGGCAGGACGGACAGCTGAGACTTCGAGGGATGAGGGTGACCCCCGATAGAAAGTGAGTGAAGGAGACCGAGTGTTTACGCGCGTCCGTCACCCGCGGGGTTTTTAAACAGGTTTCAGAAGAAAACAACCGTTGTTCGGCCGTTCGCCCTGTGTACGTTCTCGCCGGCGGCGCTGCGCCCGTCCGCGGGGCTGCGGGGCACCGACGTGTGATGGCGGGGAGCCCCGCGGGGGACTCCCTCCCAGCTCGACTTGGGGTGGTGCATCAGGGCGCCGACGTTTTAATCAGTGAAAGCAGCCGAGTCCCGCTGCCTGCCCCGCCGCGGCCACAACGGCCCAGTCCAGAGGAGGAAGAGGAGGGGGCGGAGGAGCCATCAGCCCTGACCCTCCCCAACCTCTCCTTACTGCCGCCGCCGGAGCGCTACCGTTTGCGTTTCTTTTCGGTAACGCTGCCACCTCCTCGGTCGTTCACTTTGTACGGCGAGGAAGCTGGCGGTGGCGGGGCGGGCGGCCATCGATTCGACCGCGCAGCTGAAATCAACGCAAACCGTCTCTCAGCCCCGCTCCTACGGCCCTCCGGAGACCGCTGCCGCCGCCGCCGCAGTCCGGGCCGAGCCGGTACGCCATCAGGAGATATGGCGACTCTAGCGGGGAGGAGGTTGAATCCCTGCGATTGGAATCGGGAATCAGGGCCTCCGCAGTTAGGGCCGCTAGTTACGTGTGCGTGTGTCTCTGTTGCAGCGCCCGCTGACGGCACTGACGGTGACCGCGCCCGCCATGGTCTGCTGCTGCTGCGACTGCGCCGAGGCCGGCGGGGTGGACGATGAGGAAGTGGCGGCGCCGGAGGCGGCCTCGTGAGGGCCATGCTGCGGTGCAACACCTGGCCGCTGCACCACCAACACGCTGCGGCCGCCGACGGGCACCTTCCCAACGGGCACGCCAACGGCCTCCTCAACGGCCACGCCAACGGCTTTGCTAACGGCGGGATCCCCAACGGCCTCCGCGATGGCGGCCGCGTGCCTTCCTCCAGCGAGGACTCGGGCACGGAGGAGGTCATCCTGGCGCCGCTGGACGCGGCCCTCATCCGGCGGCAGGTGTCGCAGATCCAGCGCCTGCATGAGCAGAACGGCGACCTGTACCGCCAGCACCGACGATACCGGCGCCGCGGCCGCCAGCCCCGCCGCAAGCACCTGCCCGCCGACGCGGCCGCGGCCCCCAGGACCATTCGAACGCAGATACCGCTGCAGACCACGGCCGCGGCCGTGCTGCCCGTGCTGGTTCTGGCGGGCGACAGTGCCGTGGAGCGCGCCGCCGACCTGGTGTCCGGGGCCGCGGTGCGCCGGCCCTGCTCGCCCGTGCTCGCCCTGGACTCGCGCAAGAAGACGACCCTCAGCCGCCACTACTACCCGGAGGGTGGCTGGGGCTGGGTCGTGGTGACCTGCTCCGTGGTCGTGCACCTGCTGGGCGCGGGGCTGCAGCTCGCCTGGCCGGTAATGCAGCGCGCCGCCGCCGACAAGTTCGCCGTCAACCTCAGCCACACAGGTGAGTCCCGGGTGGGCCTGGCGCCATGGCGCGTCACTCGCAGGGCCGCCCCCACCGCCCCCCACCCTCCGCCACTGCAACGACGGGGTAGGGAGGCCGATGTATCGCAAAACTGTGTCAAACTCGCGAGCGGGAGCGTATCGTATTCGAGTTTTGCATCGCATCAGGGCGGAGCAGGGCTGCCGTTGGCGGTTCTGGTGGCATGATGAGAGGGGTGGTGGGGGGTCATGACGGGTACTGTCAGGCGCAGACTGTTTTGCGACAACGCGCCAGCCCTCATCATCTCCCTGTTTGCATGCAGCAGCGTGATGTTTCATGTGTGTGCATGTGTGTGAGTGAGACGGAGTGACGCCTACGGGTGCATGTCCGCCAATGCGTCGCCAGTCCGTGCTCGCCGCCAACCAATTTCACCGCGAAAGGCAATGATGGGATACGCCAAACAACACTCCTGGCAATTTCTCATACCTCAAACTGAACATATCTGTATTTGTTTTTCTTTTTCAAACTTGAGAACAAGCAATCCGGTGTGCTGCAGCTGCTGGTGTTCCCAGCTGCAGCTGGATTATGTGCTGCGCTGCAGAACACGAGAACAAAGCCTCGTGCACTGCCTCCCTTTTACCGCCTGCGCCCCGACCGACTCCCCATCGCTGCGAGGCCTCCCCATATCCTCCCCTGGTCCATGCGCGCCTGCCCCACGCTGCTGCTGCACCGCTTCGTTTAACTGGCGGCGCGATCTAAACTCGTCCAAAATTGTTGTCGTAAAATGCGCCCTGCTTGTGCCTGACGCGGCGGCTCGACGGCTTGCATTGTACGCCCCCCCCCCCCTTCCCCGGCTCACCGCGAGGTCCGAGAGTCCACCTGCGCCAGTGCCGGAACGGCTCCCCCACCCCCCGCCCGGAGCCGTCTCCTTCCGGTCACATGCCGATGGTCCCGATGGTCAGTCGTAAAGTCTGTTGGTCCGACTGCGGCCCGCGGCCTGTTTTACTGTCGCCGAGCCGCGCGGCCTGGACTGTCGTGGCTGGGCGGGGCGGGGCCGGGCGGGGCGGGGCGTGACTGGGCGCTCCTTGGCAGCGCCAGGCTGCCCTGATGCAATGCGCTACGTGTTCCGCACGGGTGGCACGCCGCGCACCGCGCCCGCCGCGGGGACAGGGATTTCCCTTTGGCCGCGAGCACACGGCGCGCCCGCGTGCGAATCCTCCTCCTCCTCCGCCCGCCGCGCGAAGTGTTTGCTGAAGTGTGCTGATGACTCCTGCCGGTGTTTTGGAAACGCATAGCGGAGCGGGTTGGCTCCTGTCGGCGGTGGAGCCCTAGTGCGTGTCGGTCTACGGCAAGCCGCGCGCTCCTCTGCCTCGTGCTGAAAGGCTTGTC